CGTCCCTCCTCCAGGAGGCGTCGATCTCCTTGGGGTAGAAGCCATCCACGCGGCAGACGTGAGTTTCCATCCCATCGTCGGCCTCCATCCTGCTGCTCACAGTCACCACTGGGGCCTCTGCAGAAACGGCACCCCTGGAATTAACTCTGAGCCCCTCCAGAACCCAGAAGGGGGACGAGACACTTGACGGGCAGGAAAGTCTCCCACTACTTAGTTTTAACATAGGGATTTAACACTCCACACCTGCAGCGTCTCCAAGAGTTTTTGGAGATGCTCCAAATCGGGAAAGTGCTCAACCACAAGGACTCCTAATTTCCAGTCATTCCCAGTGACTAAGTCTGAAAAATCTCCAGCAGCGAATTGAGGCCCCAGGTAAGTTCCATGCAGGCTGCTATGAACTCTGACTGATCTTGGGCTGCTCCCTTCAGGGGAGGGGTACTGGAGATGCTCTTTTAAGTTCCCTTTCAAAAAAACAACACAGAAATTTCTCCCTACTTTTTGGGTCCTCTTCCACTCCCCCAAATCTTAGGCTGCTCCAGGCCTCTTTCAAGGGATAGAATCAAAATTTCAAGAGGAGGAGAGCCAGAATCAAAGCAAGGGGCTCAGGGCTTTTGGAGTTCCAGCCAGGTTAATTTGGAAAAGTGATTCTGCCTCTCAAAGGGAGGCAGAGAGAGGTGATGCCGATGGAAGAGAGACTCAGGCCTCCCAGGGCAGCAAGGGGCTGCTGGCAATGGGGGGGGGGATTCCCCCATGGAGCCTAATCTCATCCAGCAGATCCTGGAAGGACCAAGGATCCCAGAGAGGGAAGCTAGAGGGGGAGGGGTGGTCTTGATGGGAAAATAATAACAAACTCACAGGAAAAAAAAAGGTAGAAGAATATTATGAGAGGAAGCCCTGTGGGGGTCAGAGTGTCCCTGAACGTTGAGATGGGGTTGTTTTGAGGGGGGGAGTCACTAAGTCAGAGTTAAAGAACCTTTTTGGGTTTTAAGGGAAAGATCCTTGGATTTTTTTCCCCCAGGAAAAAAAGACCCCTCAGCCTTGGCCTTTTTTGCCCAAGTGGGGGCACTGATAATGTCCTTTTAATGGTAGAAGTTCCCCCTAATGGTGGGAGTGGGAGGTGCACCATTAGGTGCAAATGGGAGGGAGTGAATGTGCGAATTTTGGATGTGGCGGGAAGGACAGTTGCTGGGAGGAAATCAAGGCCGCCCATCACACTTGGCCACGTTTTGGCTAGTGGTGGCTTCACTGAAGAACCCCAAGTGGCTCTGTTGCCTCCTCCTGGGCTGTGCACAGGACACTCCTAAGTGCATTTGCTGCCTGACCCAGACAGACACCTGCCAGGCCCTCAATTCTGGCCAGCCACACCTACAGCTTGGGAGGGCAGAGGCTGCAGTTCCTGGACAACGTAATGGTTGCCTGGCAATGGGAACTAAGCAGGGCTTCCCGCGTCCTGGAGAGGCAGGAAGGGGAGGAGGGGGATTCCCTCCCGGGCATCCAGGCTGCAGACCAGGGATCCAAAGGGGGCCAAACGTGTGCAAGAAATCCGGCCATAAAGGAGGAAAGTCCAGCCTGGGCCCAGATGCTCACCTGTCCTCAGCAGCGTCTCCTTCCCGTAGGACAAGTACTTCTTCAGCCACTCAATGCACTCCTCCTCTAGGTAGGCCTTCCTTCCATGATTATATCCTGGAACAGCATCCCATTTCCTCTGGGTGACCTGGGCATATGGGTCAGGAGCCACCCAGGTGAGGGTCTCCTTGTCGAAAGTGATGAAAGTCCTCCCGTCATAGCCAAAGCGCAAAAATCCTCCTTCGCTCCCATCTCCCCGGAGCTCACAGCCGTACATCAACTGCCAGGTGTGAAGGCCTGAAAGATGGACAGGAAGATGGTTTGGGGAGTCCTCTGGAGAGACAGAGACTCCCTCCCTGCAGGGACTTTGACACAGGACGGAGGCACTGAGAAAAGGGATAAACGGTTGGAAAATGAAAAAAATACATTTTTCTTCATGAAGCTCCTCATCCTGCCCCTAAATTGTATCTCAAGGGTCTCCAGACTCAGCTGCCCCTGACCTGAAGCCCTCCCAGGTTTCCCTCTGTCTTCTCCCTCCCACAAAGTCTCCTGGGCAAAAGGTAGAACAAGCAGTGCCATCTTGGCCTTGGATCCACAGAGCCCAAACTCCTCCATCTGGAGGGTTATCACAGAGACAAATGGCTAGAAGAGGAGCGAGGGGCAGAGGGCCCCCCAACCCCCATGTCAGGCCCCCCCAAGCTCCTCAGAAGCTTTTTCCTCAGGAAAAACCCCACTCCTCCTCCCCCACATCTGCCTTGGGGATCAGACTCCCACTGAGATTTTTGCATTCACAAACGCCCAGGATGGGGGCTCTGATTCCCCCCCCAAATTATATAGGGTCCAGTTCCCACAACCTTGTTTTCCCCAGAGAAGTCAACTGAGGGGTTCTTCCCCAGTTCCTCTGTTCCCCAAAGGAATGGGGGCTGGCAAGGGGTACCCCAGCCTCTGCCCCTTCATCCACCTCCTGGCCCAGAAGGAAAAGCGTCCAGGGCCCATGAGGGCTTGGCCCCCTGAAAATGGCCCATGTTGCTCTCTCAGGAGTCCTGCATGTCTGAGTAGATGCCCCCAAATCCTCCAAGAGGGAGAACCATTTCCTCACTAGCGTTCAAGGGAAAGAAAGTCCCCCAATTTGCCCCCTTTCTCCCCTCCCTTGATGTGAGACTGGGTCCCTGGGTCTCCCCCTGGATGGAGTCCCTGCTGGTAAGTCCTATTTTCGGTTCCCGGGATCGGAAAAGGCAGCGGAGGATCCCAAGGGGGACTGAGAAGAGATGGAGGCGCAGAAGAAACGGAGGGACGGAGCCTCTGCCATCTTTCTTTCTGCCGCTTCTTTGTGGGGGGAGTCTTGGGGGGAAGGGAAGGGATCCCAGAACAGGAACAGTTGCCAGAATCTGTGGCTGCAAAAGGGGACCAAGAATCTCATGGCATCAAAGAGGATCCAGTTGATCTGGGCTCCGACCAGAGAAGGAGCTTCGGACCGAAAAGGGCTGGATGGAGCCCAGACTCCACAAGAGATAAATCCTGGAAACATTCAGTGCAGGGGAAAATTACTTAAATCAATAAAAGTTGTGGTTTTACAGTTGAAATGTTTGATATCTGCTTATTTTATAGTTTTATGACCTTCTTACAGAATTATTCCTTATTTCTAGGTCTCTAGAAGTAGGCTGTCTATTTCTATGTCTTACTGCTATAAGTCTCATCCTATTTCTGAATCTGTCTTTATTCCTTTCCTTCTTTTTAAAGGCCGCCCTTCCTTCAGGTGCTCAGGGCAGCACATACAGTGTGCCCTCCTCCTGTCTCTCCACCACAACAACCCTGTGAGGTAGGTTGGGCTGAGAGGGTGGGAGTGGCCCAAACCCCCTCAGGGGGCTCGCACTACTTTTCCCTCCAGGCTTCTACTGCGGGCCCCCCTTTGAATTTCTGCACCTCCACCCTCTGCATCTCTCCCTTGGCTGGGTCTTCTTTGCCTGCGTCTTCACGGGAGGCAAACTGGGGGAGTCCCTGAGCCTTTGCTCTGTTCTCAGGAGTGGAAGCAGCTGAGCTGAGCCCCAGAGCGGTGACAAGAGAAGCAGCGCTGGGCCTTATGGACAAACTGAGCCTCGGCAAATGACCAGGCCCCCATGAGATCCACCCGAGGTTAGGAAGGATCTCAAAGCTGAGTTTGTGGACTTTCTCATCAAAATAGGCAACCTGCAGAGCCTCCAGAGTTGAGGACTGGAAGGTGGCCAAGGTAACTCTAGTTTTTAAGAAGGGCTCATGGGGAGATGCAGGACTTGAGCTGCATGCTTAACATCTGTTCTGGGGAAGAATGTAGAAAGTGCTATTAAAGATAGAATTACCAAACGTCTGGAGACCCAGGCCTAACTCAAGGATACCCAATACGGCTTCACTAAGGGAAGGTCCGGTTTAACTAATCTGCTAGAGTTTTTGACGGGGTAATAAACACGTGGATGAGGGTGAGCCACTAGACATCACCTACTTTGATTTTGAAAATGTCTTTGATAAAGTCCCTTAGCAAAGACTTCTCAGCCATGGAATAAAAGGGTGGGTCCTCTTGTGGGTTTCCCAGGGTTTTGGCATAGAGCACTTCTTTTTAATAGATTTCTAAATGGTCTGGAATCGGGTGTGACTAGTGGAATATGCTGATGACACTAAAGGATTCAGAGTGGTAAAAACCCTAAGGAACGCAAAGAGCTCCAAAGGTTCTCTGCCCATTAGGGGAGTGGGCATCAAAACAGTAGAGGTCAGCCATTGTGACGCATGCCAAAAATCCAAACTCCTGATAGAAGCTAACGGGATCAGAGCTAGCTGGGACAAACAAGGAAAGAGAACCTGGAGTAAAGGGAAACAGTTCAATGAAGGTGTCGACACAGTGTGCATCCTCTGTAAAAAAGGCCAACAGTGTGCCAAGGATAATAAAAGTGGTATTGAAAACAGAGAGGCTAATATTGTAATGCCCTTATAGAAATCAAGGGTGCGACCACATCTGGAATATCGTCTACAGTTCTAGTTGCCACACCTCAGAGAGGATCCAAGGGAGCTGGAGAAGGGTCGGAGGAGGGGGACTCAGATGATGAAAGGGCTGAAGCAGCTTCCCTGTGAGGAAAGGTTGAGGCATTTGGGGCTCTTTAGCCTCGAAAGGAGGCAGACAAGAGGGGACCTGAGTGAGGTGTACAAAACCATGCATGGTGTGGACCAAGTGGACAAGGAGAAGCTATTTTCCCCATTCCCAAAGACTAGAACCAGAGGTCACCCAATTAAATTGAATCCTGGAAGAATCAGAACAGACAAAAGGAAATAATGTCGTACACCATGCAGAATTCAACTTTGGCATTCAGTATCATGAGGACTGGCGCTGGATACCAGCTGGGCTGCTCCAAAAGAAGGTTGGACAATTCATGCAAGTCCAGGAGATCTATGGCTCTTACCCTTCATGGCAGAGGGTCTGGCTCTGAAGGCCATCTGCTGGGAGACCAGTGGGCTTCCTGGTGCAGATGGTGGGGAGAACAGACTGCTGGACTAGATGAGCCAGGGGTCCAATCCAGCAGGGCACCATTTAGGTTCTTCTGTCCTCCACTTTGACAGAAGGACTGCGCCACGAGTCTTCTGGGCTTCCCACCGCCCTGGTTGGTCTCCCACCACCAGGGGGAGCTCTGGCTGCTCTCTGGGTCTCTCAGAGGCTGGAGGGGACCTGGAAGGGATCTGGGGAGACCCGGGAGCAGGGGCAGAACTAGCAAAGCTCTCGTGTCTGCCGGGGGTGGGGGTGGGGGCAAGAGAAGGGCAGAAGAAGTGGGGCAGCACGTTCTTGTGATGAAAGAAGGTCTCTGGGGGAATCTTGTCTCCCCAACTGGATCTGCACTTGATCCCTCATTTCTCTGGGGTGGAAACAGACAGAAGGACAAGGACCAGCTTCCACCGGGATCTTCTTAGGATCCACCTGCCTTCTGGGGGGGAGGCCTGTTATTCCCTTCCTTCCCCAGAGCAGGATGTCCATCAAGGCCAGGCTCTCCATCTTTCCTGAGGGAGAACTGGGGGGGAGGAGATTTTGGTTTGTTCTTTACCTTTATATCACGCCTGTGTTATATAATATATATTTTTTTTACTTTGAAATTGTTTTTAGTAACTGTATTCTGTGCAGAGAACCTCAGTTACAGGGCAAGGATAAAATTATATTAACTTTTTTAAAGCAATAAAAATATTTTTAAAATAACCTTTTAAAAAAGTGTGGAAGTGGCCTTTCCCCTGGGACTCCTTTTCTCCCCCCTCCTGCTCCTGGGGGGGAATATGGGGCAGGAGGACTCACCCGACCCATCACTCACCTTCGCTCTGATTGTAGCGAGTCTGCACAGTCTCCAGGTCTGCTCTGAACAGCTCCTCATTGGCACGTGCATTCTGGGTTTCAGTCTTCCAATACTGGGGGTCCTTCTTCCCCACCTCCTCCATCCAGGAGACTCGAGGCTGCCTCATCCTGGTGTTGCTGTCATAGTAAACGAAGATTTGATCGTCCACATACCCCGGAGAGACAAACTGGGGCAGCCCCTGATTGGGCTCTGACACGGCAGTGTAGAAATACTTCATGGAGTGCGAGGAGGAGCCTGGAAGGGACCCAGAGGGGCAGAGTTAGGGGGCTTCAGCTGAGGGACCCTGATGCTATGGGGCACAGCAGGCCGTAATTTGAGGGTCTGGGGAGGAAGAAGAGACATGGAGGCTGGGGGGCAGAGGAAGAAGGGAGAAAGGAAGGGGGAGAAGATGAAAGCGGGACAGGAGGCCGAGGGTGGAAAGAGGGAGCGACTGAGAGGCAAAGAAGCTGCTTCTGGAGGGCCTGAAGGGTTGGAGGGCAGAGAAGTTGGGGGGTGAGAGAGGAAGGGAAGGAAAACCAGGGCCAAAGGGAGAGCAGGACCCCCAAACCCTATTTGCCCCCTCAAATTGGTCCCTCCCCCCTTCCAGCAAGGCCTTGTGAAGGAATGGTTTGATGAAGGCCGCGCTCGAGCAGATAAGCATTCCCTTAGCCCCCAACTGGAGCGTGGGACGAGGGACGGTTAAGAAGATGCGACTGGCACCACCCTAAGGAATTCACGGTGTTGTGGCTGGCTGGCTTGGGAACTTAGGTTCAGTCTGAGGTGATTTCTGTCT